CTCTGGTGTGTTGGAAAGCTCTTGCTAGAAATTTTAATTTTTGTGTAAACAATGTAAAACATGCAGCATTTGTCACTTGGGAGTGACTACAGGTAGAGACAGCATCGGTGCTGTCTTCTCATCTGACTAGGGCTGCTCACATGTCTCTGACCATTTCATACAGCTCAAGAACAGAACTAACTGGGCAGTTCTGGAGTCTGCCATGAACTCAAAGGGATGTGGCTTCTTGCAGATCTGAAGCCCTGCAGGAAACAGCCCTGGGTTTATGAGTGACTCAGGACCAGCTCTGTACAAGTCTGACTAGCTGCAGCCAGATGCCAGTTTCCGTTTCCAAAAAGATAATTTCATTCACTGGACTGACAGGGGCTCAGGCTAGGGTCAAGGGTGGAGTCCTGTGAAAGACTTTGACAGGTCTAGATATATAAAAAAAAGCCATCAGAACCTACTTACAAGAATATGATTGAAGCCGATTGCTTGTGGCTCTCACCTGTAATCCTAGCTATTTAAGAGGCTGAGATCTGAGAAACATAGTTTGAAGCCTGCCCCAGCAGAAAAGCCAGTGAGACTTTTATCCCTAATTAACCAACAAAAAGCTGGAAGAGGGCTGGGAAGGTGGCTCAGTGGTAGAGCGCTTACCTTGCATGCTCAAGGCCCTGGGTTTGATTCCACAGCACCACATAAGCAAAAAGAAAAAAGCCAGAAGTGGCGCTGTGGCTCAAGGGGTAGAGCGCTAGCCTTGAACTGAAGAGCTGAGGGACAGCGCCCAGGCCCAGAGTTCAGGCCCCACGACCGGACCCCCCCCCCCAAAAAAAAGCTGGAAGAAAAGCTATGGCTCAAGTGGTACAGCACTATCCTTAAGCAAATAAAGCTCAGAGACAGCACCTGAGCCCTGGGTTCACGTCTCAGGACCCTCCCCCCCCCCACAGATGTGATTGGAGGGGAACAGAGAGGAGAAGTTTTCTACAGAATTGAGAAAATTCCAAGTCAGAAGCCAAGCTCCCACCAATCCTGGAAACGGGCTGGAAGTGTTTCCTGTGGATAAGGCTGGGCTGGAAGGACCATCTATCAGTGGCTCTCTGTCCTATTTTCTGTTCCTCACAGCAATGAAATGCTCATTGCACAAGGAAAGGGGGAACATTGTCCAGAAAGAAATGTACCCTTTACCTGACTCATGTAACTGGAATCCCTTTGTATATTGCCTTTATAATAAAAAATTAAATTAAAGATAAAAAATGCTCATTGCAGAGATGACAAGGTGAGTTCTAAGAGATACCTAGAGGGCCCTTCGAGGACACGAGGGCCTCGCCTCTAGAAGGTCTAATACACTGCTTGGGACCCCAACAAACTCTGATCTATGTCCTTCTTGCCTTCATTCCCACTGAAGAATCTGCTCTAAGTGATACTGTGATTGTCCCACAGGAATTATTTTTTTTAATTTTTTTAAAATTTTATTTGTGAACATACTGTACAGAGGGGTTACAATTACATGGGCAGGATAATGCGTACATTTCTTACCAAGCATTGCAGCCT